CAAACAAGACACGGAAGTAGTGAAGTTGAAAATCGAAGCATTATTTCGACTACTTATCGTGTACACAGACAAAAAAAAAAACACATACACATAATTGTAAAATCTATATATTCATCGTTCCACTCGGAATCTAAAATAAATGGTAGGTTGTTCATAAAAAGCTTCGGATCATCAGTTTTCGCTTGAACAAATAAAGTTTTATTGACATTCACTGAAAAAAATCTAAAAAAGTTGGAAACTGAGTATATCCGTAAACAGCTCAAAACAAGTCAAAATGTTTTAATGTATAGAAAATTCTAATTTAAACATTCAGTGAATATTTCATGTATTTACGATCATTTGTTTTAGAGTTACACCAAAAGCCAAAATCTATTTTTCGAAAAAATTCCCGTTTTTCCTTAATTTTTATTTTGTTTTTCCGAGCGCTTTTGAAAACTATTGGGAATTTGGGAACCTCCCATAAGTACCAACTAGATTCACTTTCCCATCGAACAAGATACTTTTAAAGAAAATCGAAGTGGTTTTATTGACCCAAACTGTGATGAGACACAAAAAAAAAGGTGGGCAAGTGGGTGTCGCTCTGCTGTACAGTAGGTTACAAGTGGGTCATTGTATAATGGATGGTATTAAATTTGAATTCAATGATATAATATCATTGTATAAGAAAAACGATTCTGAGCGGAGACGGTATGCCTTCTAGGTATAAGACATATTATATACATATCTATGGTATTAAAAAAAATTGACCTATAATGAATTCCAAATTAATCATATCACAATATCCATTAGGTACTTATAACGCGTTATACACCAACAACAAACCCTGATACTATCATAGATATATATAGTAGATTACTTTAGAAATTTCAAGTACCCACGAATAATATTATACAATCACAACAAAATAACTAAAATCGTAATTCTTGGTTTAAATATGAAATTTTGTCTAAATTTGAAATTAAAATGTCTGTAAAAAATAAGTGTGTTTATATATTTTTTAGATTTTTTGGTTACAGTATGAATTATTTAAGAGAATCTTTGTTTTAAATTTTCAACTCTTAGTTATAAAAACTGAACATTTTATAATTTTTTAATTCCAACGATTGATAATTTTGGAGATTTTGATAAATTTTGTCAAAATTCCAACTTTAAATGCTTATAAAAAAAAATCGTGCCTATGTATTTTTAAAATTTTTCAACTGATATTGTAACAATATATAAGAAAGCTTGTATTAAATTTTCAGACTTTTTGGCCCACCAAATAAAATTTTATTGACAATTATAAAAAAAAAAACTAAAAAAATTGAAAACTGAAAATGTCCGTAAACAGCTCGAAAAGAGTCAAAATATTTTCAAAATTGTATGGTGTATAGGAAATGCTAATATAAACATTCAGTGAAATTTTCATGTATCTACAGTTATTCGTTTTTGAATTACAACAAAATAAGGAAATCGCTACATGAGAAATCGAGTGAACATCCAATGTTGTAAAAATTTGAATTTCAAACGCTCATAAAAATTTAATTTGACATTCCGGTAGAGATTTTTTTATTGATAAAGGTAGACAAACTTATGAGTAATCTTGTATTACATTTTCAAATCTTAGATTTAAAAAGAAAAATTTTTACGAATTCTTAACTCAAAATAATTCGCTAATTTTCGTGATTTTTCCATATTTTTACAATTTTTGAACTTTAAATGCTTATAAAAAAAAATTGTGACTAAGGATTTTTAATATTTTTCATCTGCCTTTGAAACAATATATTAGGAGCCTTATATTAAATTTTCAAGCTTTCGCAACCAACAAATAAAATTTTATTGATATTTTTAGAAAAAAAACTAAAAAAAAATGGAAAATGAAAATGTCCCTAAACAGTTCAAAATAAATCAAAATATTTTGAAAATGTTATCGTGTATAGAAAATGCAAATATAAACAACCAGTGAAAATTCCATGTATATACGTTCATTTGTTTTAGAATTACACCAAAAACCAAAATCGATTTTTTGGAAAACCAATTTTGCGTAAAAATTCCCGTTTTTCCTTAATTTTTATGTTGTTTTTTCCCGGCGCTTGTGAAAACTACTGGGAAATATTTACTTTTGACCCCCCAAAGTACCAACTAGATTCACTTTCCTATCAGAAAAGGTACTATTGAAGAAAATCTAAGCACTTTTACTGTCCCAAAACGTGATGACAGACACAAAAAAAAATATAAAAATATAAAAATATAAAAACACACATCATTGTAAAACCAATACATTCATCGCTCCGCTCAGAATCTAAAAGGTGAGCAAGTGGGTGTCGCTCTGCTGTACAGTAGGTTACAAGTGGGTCACTGTATAATGGATGGTATTACATTTGAATTCAATGGTATTATATCATTGTATAAGAAAAACGATTCTGCAGAGTGGAGACGGTATGTCCTTCTAGGTATAAGACATATTATATACTTATCTATGGTATTAAAAAAAATTGACCTACCTATATTATAATGAATTCCAAATTAATCATATCACAATATCTATTAGGTATACTTATAACGCGTTATACACCAACAACGAACCCTGATACTATCAGTATCATAGATATATAGTAGTATACTTTAGAAGTTTCAAGTACCCACGAAAAATATTATACAATCACAACAAAATAACTAAAATAGTTATTCTAGGTTTTTTATTATGTAATTTCGTCCAAATTTGAATTTAAAATGTCTGTAAAAAATAACTGTGTTCATATATTTTTTAGATTTTTTGGTTACAGTATGAACTATTTATGATAACCTTTGTTTGAAATTTGCAATCCTTAGCTATGATTTATGAAAACTGAACATTTTATAATTTATTAATTACAATGATTGATAATTTTCGAGATTTTGATAAATGTTGTCAAAATTCGATCTTTAAATGCTTATAAAAAAAAAATGTGCCTATGTATTTTTAAAATGTTTCAATTGCTATTGTAACAATGTATCAGGAGCCTTGTATTCAATTTTTACACTTTTTGGCCCAACAGATAAAACTTTATTGATATTTATAGAAAAAAAAACTAAAAAAATTGAAAACTGAAAATATCCGTAAACAGCTCAAAAAAAGTCAAAATATTTTCAAAAATGTACAGTGAATAGAAAATGCTAATATGAACATTCAATAAAATTTTCATGTATCTACAGTTATTCGTTTTTGAATTACAACAAAATAAGGAAATCGCTACATGAGAAATCGAGTGAATACCTATCCAATGTTGTAAAAATTTGAATTTCAAACGCTCATGAAAATTTAATTTGACTTTCATATACATTTTTTTTTTGATAAAGGTAGATAATTTTATAAGGAATCTTGTATTACATTTTAAAATCTTAGATTTAAAAAGAAAAGTTTTTACGAATTCTTAACTCAAAATAATTTGCTAATTTTCGTGATTTTTCCATATTTTGTCAATTTTTGAACTTTAAATGCTTATAAAAAAAAACTGTGACTAACGATTTTTAATATTTTTCATCTGCCTTTGAAACAATATACTAGGAGCCTTCTATTAAATTTTCAAGTTTTTTTAACAAACAAATAAAATTGTATTGATATTTCTAAAAAAAAAATAAAAAAAAATGAAAAATGAAAATGTCCCTAAACAGTTCAAAATAAATCAAAATATTTTGAAAATGTTATCGTCTATAGAAAATGCAAATATAAACAACCAGTGAAAATTTTATGTATCTACGGTCATTTGTTTTAAAGTTACACCAAAAAACAAATTCAATTTTGTGAAAAATCGATTTTGCGTAAAAATTCCCGTTATTCCTTAATTTTTCTTTTGTTTTTCTTGGCGCTTTTGAAAAGTACTGCGAAATGGGAATTTTAAATTTTGACCTCCCCAATGCACCAACGATATTCACTTTCCAATCGAACAAGATACTGAAGTCGAAAATCGAAGCATTATTTCGACTACTTATCGTGTACACACACAAAAATAAAAAATAAAAAAAATTAATAAAAAAAAAATATAAAAACACACATCATTGTAAAATCAATACATTCATCGTTCCACTCAGAATCTAAAAAATAAAAAAAAAAACACACAGCATCATGGTAAAATCAATAGGTACATTCATTGCTCCACTCAGAATCTAAAATATGTGCCCAAGTTCATGCAATCATCATAAAATAGTCATACATGGTGTTAAATATTGTGAGATTGGTGAAACATACAAAATTATATATAGTTTCAGATCCACAGGAATGTTAGGAATACGCAGTTATTTGATACACCAATTCATGACAAAATAAATACCGATGGCCATTGGCCATGTACTATTTACCTACTGTAAAGTGTAATTTATATAGGTATCTAATATCAATATAGTCCATAGTGACACCATAGGCCACAACAATAATCAATTACAATTAATTTGTACAAAAAGTCAATATTAAGTAAATAAATTTTATTAAAAACTGACGTAGGTACCTACAAAAAAATATTATGATTTGTTTATTGTTATGAAGTTTGTTATCCTTACAGATAAGACATTGGAAAGTGATAAATATATTGTTATCTTATAAGAAAAACATTTTGATGAACTAAGATATCTCAATATGCCGACTTCGTTTGTGGTATTAACTATTAAGTAATTAAGTAATCGCCATGACTAAATAGATATTATTTATTTTACCATAATAATTGGTTGCACTCTAAACTATGATTAATATTTAATAATACCCAATTAATAATATTAATTGTTAGTATACTGTTTGTTATATATTACATAATATGGAAGTGGTTTTGTGGATCGTGTTTCATAAATAGTTGAGGTACAATATATTTTATACTCGTAGTTGGATGGTTTACGGAGAGTAAAAAAATAATTGTGAACAATTATTGTCGTCCTAATTATATTACTATTACGTCTTACAAAATCATCAACAAATAATGTAACGTCAGATACTCGTATGAGATTATGATACATTAGAATACAACTTGTGTTTCGTTTTTCCTCACTTTACTATGGAAAACAAGGAGAGGTAATTATTTGAAAAATTGGATTAAATAATTTAAGATATAACGGAGGCAAGACAAATTAACATTGAAGATTTGGATGCAAAATACTCTTGGTTGTAGAAACTTAGACAGTAAAGTTAACGGAAAGTTCTGTAGTTGTTGACTTAATTTAGGCTACATAGGACGGATAGTTGTTCATGCACCTAGTCAGTTATAGAACTAGACAATGTTGGAACTTTGTTCCATACATTTTATGCCATGTCTTTCATCCAATCTCAATTTTTCCCACCATTATTGACCTACAGGCCCTGCCACTATTATGAAATTCAACAACCAAATTTAAATTATAAATATAATAATTATTATAACTAAAATTCAAAATTATATTTTTGTAAGAACTTTCAAGCACAATATAGGTAGTTCAATTGTTAGCTTATAAATCGATACTTAGTTAAATTATTGAAACTTAATTTTTCAAATTTTTAGGTAGTTAACATATGAATGGCGCAGATATGATATTTTCAAATATTCTTTACTCATGAAAAGTAAATAAATAAATGTTATTTTTAATAGATTTTCATTGCTGCTATTGGAACCTGGAGAGTACTATTTTGAAGATTACATAGCTTCATTAGCAGTCACTGAGAATGATACCTGGCTTAGTGGACGACTTAAAGTATGTTCATTATCATTAGTTTTTGATCCAAAAGATTATCATAAACCAATTTTAAAAATACCGTTTACACAATGTGGATCCATTACTAAGAGGTTTGTGACACTTAGTTAAATAGATAGTATTATTTTTTAAAATTATTTAGTATTTGGTATAACATTTAAAGAATGTGTATATTTATACTTGTCATTGTATCCTAAGAGTAATAGAAAATGTATGTTCAATATGTTTGTAATTGTCACTTTCAATATTGTATTAGACCTTAGATAAGATTTAAGAAAAATACCAAACTAGTAATTATAAAATCCATATGTTTGTAGGATAATACATTTATATTTTTGTTAATGTTATATTTTTATAATTTTTGTTTCATATTATTAGTTCAGACAAAGATTCAAATATATTAAATATAATAAGCAAACAGTACATTGAAATGTTAGATCATAATGTATTAGAACCTTACAAGTTCGTTAACGTAAGTATTTATATGTTGTTATTGATTACATATTATACATATACATTAAATGTTCTAGGAACTATCATTATTCAGAATCTATTTAAAATATGCTCGAGTGGAGAATTGCTTATCTCTTATATTACAACTACATCGAGCTTCTTCTTTGCAAACTGCTGAACATAGACATATGGTAAATAATCAATTTAAAAAAAATAGTTTAATACACAATTTGACTATTTTGAATATATTTTAATATTATTAGGCTGCAGCAATAGCATTTGGTAGACAAACACTTATTACATTTGATCCAACATGGTTAGAATTGGGTGAAAATATAATAATAGAAGAAGTTGGCCAGAAAATAACACCTCTTAGTATAAATTCTGGAAGAATAGTATTGACTAGTTTACATGTGTATTTCCAGCCTTTCAACAATAATGAGATGGTAAGTTATATTTGAAATGTTTTTACTATTTCTGATGTAAATGTATGTGTGGTTTCTTTGTAAATTATTGAATACATATTCAACAATGTGTAACAGAATGACCTGACAAATAAAATAATAATAAGTCTATTACACCCTGAATATTTAAATATTTAGTGTAATAAAAATCTTAGAATATAACGTGGTCTTACACTATTAAAATATAATACATAATACATTTTAGCTTAATGCTTATATACAATTATTAAAATACCAATTGTGTAATATTAAGATAACATATTACAAATATTTTTATGATTTTAGACTTTATACTTAAAAATTAAATTGTCAGAAATAAAGCGAATAATTAAAAGAAGATTTTTGCTACAACAAGTTGTAAGTATTAATAAATTTGTACTAATCAATTGTTAATCATAGTATTGTACCTAATAATATTTATTTTTTTACAGCAACTTGATTTAACATTGCATTATTTTATACTTTCCAATCTAATTCTTAAGATAGTTCTATAAGAAACTTATTTTGTTAAATTATATTAATTAATTTGTTTAATTATAATATCCCCTTCCTATTAATTTAATTTAATAACCAAGACATTATATTGAAGGAAAATATGTTGCTGAAAATATTCACCATGAATCTTTCGGTTAACAACTGTATGTATCTTATGGTTTTCAGCCTAATCTTCACTGCATGGCAAATTTAATCATATATTAGTTATTTCATGTTAGTATAAATACAAAATGTACAAAAAAAAAGTATTTTCAAATTATAACTATACATTTCCTGACTAATTAGGAATTAAATAATAAATTGTAAAGTTAAAGTTTATTCTAATAAACGACAATGTTTTTTAATTAAAATTAAAGTTAATAGTAATAAAATATTAAAACAATAGGATGTTGTATAAATTGACATTATTGTTGTAATACATTAGTATTAACAATACAATTTTACTTTTTAATTAAAATAAATAACCTATTGGAATTTTAATTAAAAATGACTATAATAATGATAATATTGTTACAACAAATTATTAATATTGTTCATGTTTATAGCATTATATTATTCTATGCTTATAAAATTGTTTTATTTTAGGTAAAACATAGTAAATATACAATTTATTTTGGATTACACTTTAAGCTTTGAACCTTTGTGTATCCTTAAAACATACATAATATAAAATACTTTTTTTTAAACTTTTGCTGAAATCATATTTAAAATTTTAGTTTAGGATTTATAAATCATAGCATAAAATATACCTATTACCTATAATCACAATATTTGTTAGTTAGATACTTAGATCACCATTAAATAATTTACAATTACTAATTAGCAAGGCTGGGCATTAACAAGTTAATAAGTTAAATGTTATGTTAGTTAGTAATAAGTATTTACTCATTTGCATCTACGTTAACTTTAATTCAATTTACCTTTTAATTTACCAATTAATTTTTAATTGTCAAATTATCCAGGGTATAATTTTTGTTTATTACCATTTATAATTTTAAGTTAGAAGAATATAGCAAATATTTTTGGAAAAATAATGTTAAATGTTTTTATGAAGAATTTCATATGTATATTTATGTATAAAACTAATTTATCAAATTGATTACCAATAGTATAGTCGTATGGGTGTCACACAAGTCACCCATATAAAGACATTAATAGACAAATTATATTCATATTACTTGTTGATATTATTATTATGGATTGTAGTCATTTAAATTTATACTCTTCATGTACCTATGTATAATGTATTAAACATTTTTACTGTATTTTTAATTTCCCACTCATTAAAATGCTTCAGTTTAATTAGTCTTAACTACTTAGTATTTAATTTTATAAACCTACCAAGTAGTTGTTTGTTTCAACATTTAGTCTAGATGTTTTATGTAAATAAATCAAATATAATGCGATTGTATTTTCTATAAAAGAGATATTTACTTAATATAATTAAGATCATCATTTCAAAATAGATAGTATTTGATTATAAGTCTATAAGTCTTAAAACTAGTATATCTTTTTTATATACGTTTAAAAAAATTATAATTGTTAAAAAATACAGTAAGTACATGTACACTCAAATTTATATTTAAATATTCCCTGAGCCTGAAATATGAATAATATTTGTGCTAATAATATTTTTGTATGGGGTTTATTCACATAATATATGCATCCAAATATTGTATTAATAGTTATATTATATTACTATATCTAAGTAATATTCACTTAATTAAATATTTAAAGCATTTTTTTTTTTTAAATAAATAACCTTATTTAATTGATTTGAGTTACTTATGTAGATGAGATTGGTAACTTCATTGATGTGTTCGAAATGTATTTTAATGTAGTTCAAAATATAAATATTTAACTTAACTGAGTTAAAAAATGTAACTTACTTGCCCAGCCTTGCTAATTATTAGGAATGTAATTTATTATTTATTTATTACTGTTGCTGTTTTACACAAGTCATGTTCTATTGTATTTAGTGCTCATCTATATTTGACAAAATTATAAAATACATTTGCTTGTAGAATTTAAATTGTGTAGAACAATTATTAAAGCATTAAGTTTTATATTTTTATAGAAATATATATTTATAGAATTTTATTTTAGGGTTTAGAATTTGAATATGAACCCAATAAACAACTGTACTTGACATTTAAAAATACTGAAATACGAGATAATCTTTACGATAATTTATTAAATCAGTCAAAAGTGAAAGTGGAAAAACGCGAAAGATGCATCATGACACTAAAATGGCAAAATGGCGCTTTGTCTAACTATGATTATTTACTGTACTTAAACAGGTATTTATTTATATTTTATAATTTAGTGTATAGTGTATATTTATATATTATGTATGTATAGGTTCACAAAACTTAATATATTATAATTTATAACATAATTTTTATACCAAGAAAATGGTTTACATATAAATATAGAATATTATCAAGGTATATTCCTTACATTTTAATTTCTTAAGTTGATATTTTAAAATTATAAAAATAATGTATTTTGATTTGTTTACTATTATTTATGTTTATTAAAATAAATTAGATCAGTCCTATATTTTGAGGAAAATTTATCATGTAAATACATTTGTGTAATATTTTAGTTTGGCTGATAGAACTGTTAACGATCTGACACAGTATCCTGTTTTTCCATGGGTTGTAGCAGATTACTCATCACCCACCCTAGATTTAACTAACTCAAATACATTCCGTGACCTTACCAAACCCATTGGCGCCTTGAATCCAGGAAGATTATTAAAACTCCAGGTCTTTAATAACAACTAAAATTATATTGATATAATAATATATAATACGATTTTTGAATATATTTACTAACCAATGTAATTAACTTTATAGGATAGATACAATGAAATGAATGTACCTAAATTCTTATATGGATCTCATTATTCAACTCCTGGATTTGTTTTGTTTTATTTAGTACGTAAATATCCTCAATACATGTTGTGTTTGCAAAATGGTAGATTTGATCATCCAGACCGAATGTTTAACAGGTATTATAGTTAATAGTTAAGTAACACTTAAAACAACTATGCACTCATATTTCTTAAAATGAGCTTTAGTTAAAATTCTGCCTGCTAAGCAAAATTGCCGTACACACCAATGAATTAGTTTTGATAAAAAAAAAAAAAAAAAAACATTTTGGAATTTTATTTGTTTAAGCCATGTGCTATTCTGTTTGATTTAGTATATAAAATATTTTATTGATTTTTCTATAAGAAATGTAATGGAATAACAATAAAAATGTTTTTATCACTTATTACAGAAATACAAGTTATTTTTATATTATTACTTAAGCAAATAAGCCGTATAAATTTCTATTCACAAAGTAAAAATGACTTAAGACAGTTCATCTTAAATGAGTAACATTTTAATGAGTAATTATAAATCTAATCTTCTATAATTTTATTAAAGATTTGCTATAAACAAATGGTATAACATGAAATATAATAATTATAATCTTATGACTAGGGTTCGGGACTTATTGCACACAAATTGTAGGAAATATGCACGCTCATAATATGCACTTAAAGTAATCAAAATATGCAACTGAATGTTTTTTTTATTCATTTAAATTTGGACAATTGTTTGTAATTAGTTATTTTTGACAACAATAACACCATTAACATTATATTTCTGAAGTTTATGTTGAATTTCATTTTCTTTGCCTTCTTCACACAATGAAAAAAAGGTTGGGTTTTTCTTTAGTATATTAAATTATTATTAAATATAAAAATGATGAATTACTGATTACTGATTAGGTATATTGAACAACACATGCAAGTAAAAAAAAAATATAATTAACCTTTAAAATAAATGTACTTAATATAAAACGAAAACGGCGTGAATATGCTTTAAATAACAATTAAACTGCCAACATTTGTGAAATATGCATTTTGCTCAGAAAACGGCAAAATATGCTAAAATGTGCAATTAAAATTTTTGTATTTCAATCCGTATGACTTAAAACAAATTTAAATTTTACTTAGACTATTCTGCAGTCACTATTAAGCAATATGCAAATACAATAAGTCCCAAACCCTACTTATGACTATAATTGTCAGCATTAACTAGTAAAAATATTTTACAAATTGTTTAAAGTTATACCTACTTAAAATATTATTATCATAAAACCATCATCATTATATATAATATTAAAATTTAAAAAAGAACATGTTCAATATTTTAATTGTTAACTCATATATTTATTATATTTCCAAAACTGTCTTCTGTTTTGTTGACGGACTTATTTAAGTTTTTGAGAATGTTGTTTCGTTTTTCTACAGGAATGCCACAAGGTCCATTCAATGGTTGAAGTGCGGTCATTCCGGATATTTTTCATTAAAAATCAAGCTCTGAATATTCCTCTTCAAAAAAAAAAACATTTATCTGAAACAACTTTTATAGACACTTTTTGTTGTTTAGTAAAACACGGTTTGTTGATTTACTAAGATTTTGTTGTAATTTAAAGTTGACCCATTCATAAAAATCAATATAATTCATAATTTTCATTTTATTTAATGATATTATAATACCTGTAATTTTCTATTTATTATTTTTTTACTTTGGGTGGCATTAATTGATTTCTGGATCGTAAATAAACAATTTTTGTGATTCTTTGAATAAATTAATGTAGAACTCACAATAATTGTGAATATAATATTAAACAACAATCAGATCATAATTATCTTAATGTAATTCACTAAGTAAAATAATAAACTTTCCAATTTTAAGTGAAAAAGAAGTTTAGAATTCATTAATACAAAATGCCATAATATATTATATTTATAAAAACACTTATTAATGTTGATGCTTAGAAATTAGTAAGATACTATGTTCTTACTTAGTATAGCAAAACAATTTTGTTATGTATGACATAGAACATTAAATGTATATTTATGTTTTTTCTACAGGAATTGTATACATTTTTATATTTATCAGATGTTGTAGCTTACACTTTTCTTTTAAGTTACAGCTCTCTTGCTTAGTAAGGCAGTATTAGAGTATGTTGGAATAATTTGGTTTTAGCTTTTTTGTTTAGTTATAATATATTAAATAATGTGGTATTATAATGCGAAAGCCACGTTGAGACCGAGGATGACTGTTTCCAACATTGTTACCAACATTGATATCCTAGTTTGTGGGCTTAAGACGTAAAACCAAATTATTGTGAATTATTCTCTTAAATTGAACCAATGATTTTGAGATACAATTATATAAAAATGTATAAAATGTTCAATTTTTTTTTTTTAAGTATATCAGATGCCTGGAGAAATGTGTTAAACAATATGTCAGACTTTAAAGAGCTAGTTCCAGAATTTTATGACACTGATCAATGCGGTGATTTTTTAACTAACAAATATGCTATTGATTTTGGTACTAGACATGATGGTCGCAAAGTTGGTGATGTTGAACTTCCTCAATGGGCAAATAGTAAGTCAAAGATACATTTATATATTTTAATAATTATTAAATTATTTTACATGCCTATCAGGTCCTGTTGACTTCATTTCTAAATTGAGACAAGCTCTAGAAAGTGATTATGTGTCCAATCATTTACACCATTGGATAGATCTTATTTTTGGTTATAAACAAAACGGACCAGAAGCAATTAAAGCAAATAATGGTATAATTTAATCAAGTATTAACAATAAATAACAAAATGTTTAAAATAATCTAATTCCTTTATTCACATTAAAGTCACATTACATAATCATTATAATAATGTTTTATTACTAGTGTTCTACTACTTATGTTATGAGGGAGCTGTTGATTTAAACAATGTTCGAGACTGGAATCAAAGACATGCCTTAGAGGTGCAAATTATGGAGTTTGGACAAATACCAAAACAGATATTTGAAAAGCCACATCCACCCAAAACATGTTTATTAATTAAAGATTTCCAAAAGTTTGGTAATATTTTATTTTATTTGACTGTTATATTATTAAATAATAGTTAAAAATGTTATACTATTTATTGACATAATATTTTTTATTAGGAATTTTACCAAATATAGAACAATACTGGAATTGGAAGAATTTGAGTGTATTAAAATTATTCACTACGACTATACATAGAGATACAGCTACAAGTGTCAAATTTAGTGAAGACATGCAAACAGTTTGGTCAGTTGGATATGATGCTATGCTTAAGGTTCATTGCATATCAACTCAAAAACAAATTAGAAGTGTTATCGTACAGGGTTTTCCAGTTAAATTTAATGATATAATTTTACCGTCAAATTATACATCAACAGCACTGATTGCTACCATGCATGGGTCTTTGTAATTATAAACATTTCTTATGGAAAATTATTAATGATTTAATTTCTGAACTAATAATTATTTTTTAACCAATAGGATTGTTTATGATATTGACTGTTGTCGTATTACTGATGATTTTAGAGCTCATGAAGATTCCATATCTTGTTTAGCATGGTCTAAAAATGGATTCTTAATAACTGGTTCTTTAGATTGTACTGCTCGTATTTGGAAGGCTCCACAAGCTCCTTGGACCAAAATTGAGTTGATAACTTCTCTTAAAGCTGAACTGGAACATGAAAATAAAGTTACAAGTTTAGCTCTTTCTGTGTGAGTAATAATAATCTTTGTAAAAACAAATCTAGTACTTAGGATTTTGTTTTGGTGAGGGAAAGGGTTGTTTTAACCTGTTCATTTATTAGAGAATGGTTGCTTTAAAATTATGATAACTTAATAACATTACAAACACAAAATATGATGCCAATATATTAGAACCCATAAAGGTTAAAATAAACTAATAGCTAAAACAAATTAATACAATATTACAAAAATATGTTTAAATTTTTTTAATTATTTAGTTTTTAATATAAATATAATTTTCATATGTTACAGGGATAACAAATTGTTGGCAACTGGAACTAATGTAGGTGAAATTTTTCTATGGTCGTTTTTTGACTATTCATTTATACAACAGTTACCAGGTATACCTAAGTAAATGTCATTAATAATAATTATTATACCTATTTGATATATATATTGGAATACTAAGCAACCGCAATTGATTGAATTACAGGACATGCAGACAGTGTAAATAAAATGTGTTTTAGTCGTGATTGCTCAAAACTTCTTTCATGTTCTGATGATTGCTGTTTCAAAGTGTTTGATTCTGATAGTGGATTAGAACTTTACACTAATACTCTTCAATGCCCATTAAAGTAAAATCTTTGTAAATCTACTTAATTATACATTAGGGTATTATTTCAAGTCTTAAAATATGTCAAATCATCAAGTAAAAATTATTGAAGTTGTTACTTTATATATAATATGTATTATGTACCTATGTATGCAACAGTATACTATTTACAAACAATTTTATTTGTTTAAAACGTTTTTATTTTTGTATAAGTAATATAATTATAATATAAACTCAATTATGAATAAATTAAAATTTTATTTTTATAGGACATTAGCATGGGATGGATATCATGTTTTTGTTGGTGGTGAAAACGGAATCTTGTATTTGTGGGACTTAGAAAAATTTGAACTTATTAACAAAATTCAGACACATCCTGGTAAATAGTTGTTATTTTAAATTTAGAATAATGAAAGTAATTAATAAATAGGTAATAGATAAAATAATAATCTATTGCCTATAAATTAATTTCTTACAATTATATTTGTATTTACATAATTTCACAATAATTGTATTATTATATTATTTTTAATATGTTAAAGGTGGTTTATTAGATATGGATGTTTCTAATGACGGAAGTATGATTGCAACTGTTGGTAAAGATCGGTTGGTTTATGTATGGAAAACATCTTTTGATAATTAGAGATTCTAATGTTACTATTATTATAAAAACAATTAATACATATTTTATTTTTTTATCTAGTTTATATAGAAGTACTTAAAACATCGGTTGATGTGTGATTTATATTTTTTCATTAAATAAATTAAAAATATTTTAATAGAGATTGTTATAAATGATTAATGCATTTTAAACATTGTTTAAAGATCAATAATATCACTTGTGTATAATTACATTCTACATATTTTATAGAAGTGTGCTTGAAATTGTTTGAGTCTTATAAGTTATAACTAACTGAAAAAAGATATTCCATTTATGACCTAGCTGATATTCCTAATTATTTTTTTCAAATATATTTTTATTTTATTCAGCTTCTTTATATTATAGATACAGGACATATAAATATTATAATGAAAACAATTTAAGGATTAATTATCACATTTTTAAAAAAGAACATTTAATACAATAATTGAATTAAAATAATTTACAACAAGCAGAAACATCATAAATGTCAAATATTTAAATACAAAATGGGTTTCCTATTTTCAATATGATGTCCCATGTAAGATACACATTATAATATAATATTGATAATCAGGTTGCAGAAGCACCAACAAATATAGAAGGTATCTGCCCAACGAGTCTTAGAATATTAACCAACATTAAACGAGTTACAGACACATTTTTCAAAAAGAAATAACATTGAATTGTATTATTTTATATTTTATACATCATGCATGGAACATTAAAATGCAAAAAGTAGGGGTTGAGAGCAACTGGTAAACAGCCACTATTAGTAATAGGTAAGGTATGACGGTATGAATAAGGCAACTATAGACAATAGCTTAAAATTGATCTAAATATTTTGAAAACAATGAAAACTATGTTATTTTGAGTAGGTACAATAACTAAAATAATTTACCTACTAATAAATGTAAATTTCCCACAAATATATAAATAGGTATATAAAAAATTTACAACAAAACTAAAATTAATAATCTTTGTCAAATAAGGTATCCAATTTCGGGGGAAAAAAATATTTTTTGTGGCAGGCAGGTAGGTTTAAAAATTACTAAAACAACAACTTATATTGGATCTTGTATTAAATGTTCAAGATTTATGGCTATTGACCAACCTAAACATTTTTACCAAAACTTAAAAAAAAAACTAAATTGGTCAATGGACAGCGGCTAGAGAGAGAAACGAGGTAGCCGAGAGAGAAAGAATCATGCGTTTGGGCATAGGACGACCATGTGGTTTGCCGTTTTGAGACACATCACACCGTCATTTTGGTTCCCGGCGGTCGAGTTGTCGGGCGCGGACCGGTGGTCTGACGGTCCGCGGTCGAACTGGAACCAAAATGGCAGATGAGAATACCTACATCTATAGTGCTCTACCATAGTCGCCTCATTTTCTTGGCCGTTAAATTACCCGGCCAACATACAGCGGCGAACCACGAAATAGACGGGGTATCGGGTATGAAGTGGTCGGCGACATAGACCTATAAACAAAGCTTATAGTGAGAAGTCAGGGGTACGATATAGAATGAGCGAAAAAAGAAACAAAGTAGTAAAATGTATACAGTTCCTAATGCAGGCTATGTGCAGTGCTCCTTCACTACTTTATGTTTTTTCTCTCTCAGATAAATGGTTATATTATGATCAGGGTGGAGTGGAAAACCTAACCTATCTATTTTGTCATGCGGAAGCGGTGGCAGTAACATTCTGCGCCGCCTCGGTGGAGGTAAATATTGTTGTCAGGCTTCGCTGTCCAATATAATATGCTATTATAATAGTATATAAGTATATATACCTGTGGTGGAGACTGGAGACCTTACGGTGTTTTTATCTTTCGTCCCCATGAAGTACCTATGTACTGTAAGCAAGCCATAACGTATTCAATATTGGAATATAATGGATGTCAAAGGCACCGGGAAAAACAAAATAAAAATTAAAGAAAATGGGAATTTATACGCAAAATCAGTTTTTGACAAAGTCAATTTTGGTTTTTGGTGTAACTCTAAAACAAATAACCGTAGACACATGACATTTTTACTGGTTGTTTATAATTTTATTTTTTGTTTAGCATACAATTTTGAAAATATTTGACCAGTTTTGAGCTGTTTACGGACAATTTCAGTTTTCAATATTTTAAGTTTTTTTTCCATAACTGTCAATAAAATTTTATTTGTTGGGTAAAAAAGCGTGAAAATTGTATACAAGGATAGGTTGATATAAGTTGAAAAAAATTTAAAATACATAGACATTTTTTTTTTTATCAACATTTAAAGTTCGAATTTTGACAAATATCGTAAAAATCACGAAAATGTGCAAATTATTTTGTGTTAGAAATTTATAATAATGTTTCTATTTAAATCTAAGATTTGAAAATGTAATACAAGGTTTCTCATAAGATGGTCTACTTTTATCAAAAAAAAAAAGTCTACAAGAAAGTAAAATTAAATTATTATGGGCGTTTGATGATCATATTTTACAACATTGGATATTCACTCGATTTCTCATGTAGGTAGCGATTTTCTTATTTTGTTGTTATTCAAAAACTAATATAACTGCAGATACATGAAAATTTAACTGCATTTTTATTTACATATCATTTTCTGTACACCATAAACTGTTGAAAATGTGTTGAGCTGTTAAAAAACCAATAAATGTTTTATGTTACAAATAAAATTTTATTGATATTTCTAGAAAAAAAACTAAAAAAAAATGGAAAATGAAAATGTCCCTAAACAGTTCAAAATATTTTGAAAATGTTATCGTGTATAGAAAATGCAAATATAAACAACCAGTGAAAATTTCATGTATCTACGGTCATTTTTTTTAAAGTTACACCAAAAACCAAATTAAATTTTGTGAAAAATCGATTTTGCGTAAAAATTCCCGTTTTTCCTTAATTTTTCTTTGGTTTTTCTTGGCGCTTTTGAAAATTACTGTGAATTTTAAATTTTGACCTCCCCAATGCACCAACGATATTCACTTTCCAATCGAACAAGATACTGAAGTTGAAAACCGTAGCATTATTTCGAATACTTATCGTGTACACAGACACAACAAAAATAAAAAAAAATTTAAAATTTAAAAATTAAAAAAAACACACACATCATTGTAAAATCAATACATTCATCGTTCCACTCAGAATCTAATATGTTATATGTTCAATTTGTATAACTAAGAATTGAAAATTTTAAACAAGGCTTTCATATAATCATATATAGTTCATACTGTAACCAAAAAATCTGAAAAATATATAACCACAATTATTTTTTACAGACATTTTAAATTTAAATTTAGACGAAATTATATATTAAAAAACCAAGAAAAACGATTTTAGTTATTTTGTTGTAATTTTTTAATATTAATTTAGATTACCGGCTACTGTATTAATAATAAGTAAGAACAATATAAATTTAATATAAAATATTTACACCGAAAAACCGTCTCAGCTCGAGATGATATTACATCATTGAATTCAAATTTATTACCAATTACCATCCATTATCAAGTGACCCACTCTCAACCTACTGTACAGCAGAGTGACATCCAATTACCCGTTTTTTTTTTTATAATTTATTTATATTGCTATTAGATATAGTAATTTGTTTTACTATTAGGGTCGTGTACCAAGTTGCCCTCAAAGTAACTTTTATTATACCAATTCCACCAAACTACCTAGATCAAAATACACCGGTTGCCCTTACATATTAATATATACACGATTATAATACCAACCCGTAAAATAGGGGTGGTAAATATGTAAATAATAAATACTTATAAAATGTATAATAAAATGATAAATGCAATAATTATATTTACATGCGGTAGGTATAGGTACAATAATGTGATTTGTCAAAAAAATAGTATAAAATGATTTTAAAAAAGATGTCCAGACCCTCCACCCCATTATTTATTTCCATGTAATGCATTAGTGTATTACTATATTGCCAATGGCGATAGCACTTTTTTTTTGAAGGCAAATTGCCCAGTCTAACATCGGTGTATTGTGTAAGATAAATATTACAAATTACAAAAAAAATTATATAACAATATTGTTTTTTTTCGAAAAAAAAACTTTTTACAGCATATAAAAATCCATAATTTGTTGTCTTGCCTCTAGTTTAAAAATAAAAAAACGTTCTAAATTCTACAACTATCGTCATCGTAGGTATGAATATCGTGTTTACCCACACGTAAATAAAACTAAAAAGGCAACAGATGTCGCCAAGGCCACTGGCCAGCATAGCCATTGACAATATTATTATGATCAAGACGTAGTACTGTTCTATCTGTACTCTTCGTAGTATTATTCTATTCTGTGGTACTGTAATAGTTACGTGCCGAGTTGAAAACAACTCCCGTCTCCCATGACAAAATTTATTTTGTCATGACAACTCCGATTTCCGATACGGGTAGGTACGTTTCGCCGGTATGGCGGTATGTACCTTTGTTGACACACGATAATGAGAATGAAACGTTACGAATCGATACGTATCACAGTTTTCCTTGAACATTTATTATTGTTGTTTGGTCTCCGCGTTGGTGATTGGTGGTAGTCAACAAATTACAGACGATACGACCATATAACAATAATATACGACTTGAGTACGATGAACACGTTGGTAACCGGGTAACAGGTCATAGGCCCATAGCTGTGGTTTATGTTGATGGACGGCGGTGCGCATGCTCTCGACACCCGCATACGCACGCGGCACGCGCGAGCGTTCGGACCCTTTCCGCGCACTAGTCTCCACCGCCGAGCGCTGCGACCTACCATTGTAAATTGTACGTTTGTACCATCGGCGTCGGAGCGTTATCAGTCGTTAGCGTACACAGACGGTCGTTTCGATTTCTCGGCGGCAAGTGGCAACACGGCGCAAATACCATTACCACCCGTTGTCACTGGTCTTCATCTCGACTTCTACAGTTCTACAATTCCACTCTGTAGTCCGTTCTTGTCGCGCGTTTTGCTCTCCAACCCCGGACCACCCCTGACGCCAGTAACGTCGACCGTTGTGTACCGTCTCCGTGAATAATAAGCGTGTATTGCACCAGTGGCTTTCGTGCATCGGCCTTAGTGATGGCGACTTTCGACCGGTGCACCAGCGGTGGTGCGTCATTCATCGGACCCATCGGAATTCAGGTGATTGTCAACCGTGTATTTAAGATGTAGATAGATGTTACCCTATGGTCGTGATTGCACTACCCAGTGGCAGTTGCCAATGTGGAATGTCAACGATCATATTTTTTTAGATTATCAACTGACGTGCTATTCTACCGCTGTTGTAGTCTTTGCCTGCCGTCAACCTGGCGTGTAGTTCAATAAATCGTTATTGACAATGTTTGTGACATGTAATACCATCTCGACGTGTCTACAGTAGTGAGTAGTTGTCTACTCATTACACATTCATACCTACTATACTCTGTTCCATGTAAGAGTGAACCACTCGGCTGACCAAAACACGTTTTTTCCGCGCATTCCCACCACAATCCGGACATCGGTGGGAGTCTTGACACGGGCGCCCGACGATCACTGTCCGCCAATCACAGAAAGCATAGCCATCGCATGAGGGGTCGGCACTGTTCGGCGGCTCAGTCTGCGTGCGCGAAAGCGGTTCACTCTTAGATGGAACAGAGTATACCAGATATAGTATTGTCTATGTTGTTCATCTACCTGTTTGATACTTATAGAATGAGTGTGGGTATCGTCAAGTGCATGGCAGATACTGTGCTGTTTCAATACTACCATAACCAATGGCCATTATTTGGTCCCTCCGTAGTCTCCATCAGTTTGTAATTGTTGTATTACATTTATTCGTTGCATATATCTAGTCGGTTAGTTATCATTAGTGGAACAGTCTTCTGCATACCAAATAGTGATATCCTAATAGTTGTATTATTCTGCAAACAGACTATATTCTATTCAGAATAAGAATTCCCACTTTTGCGCCCGCAACTGAGCGCAGCCATCAAACCCCTCTGGCGAGAGTCAGGAGCGCTGTGATTGGTAGTTAGTGGTCGACCACTGCCGTATATACATCGGCGGCGGCACATCCGACTGTGGCAACAGATATGCCCAAACTCGACGAGTTTTCGTCAAGCGGGCATTCCTATTCTGAATAGAGTATAGATTTCAAATGATTTTTAAATCAGTTTGATATCATCAGCTACATTCTCCAAAAAAATAATTTACAGGCTCTTTCTATGCACAGCTGCCATTGTTTTCAATCTACAAACTTTAAACTTTGTAACGTCTATGCATGGTGGGTTGTTGAGAAAAAGATCATACAAGTTGGGTAAACATACACGTTTTTGGATGAATAACATCTATAATGCAATTAATGTTATGTACTCAGTAAATATTCATAATCACCAGAAATTGAGGCCAATTTATGTCACTTCCTACAAGAATTTACAATTTATGATAGGTATTTTAAAAGTTACACATACAATATTACCTAATACTCAAAGAAAGTAATATCTACTAATCAAGTGTATAGGTATTTATAAATATAGTTCTGTCCAACCCAACTTTGCCTGGGAAAAAAAGATCAAACATAAAATTTGACCTATATCTACGTATCTTGGTTTTAGTGTAGATCAGTTAGAGTGTAAATCGACATCAGTTTTCCTCACTTTCAGAACTAATACTAATCAGGCAATCGGATCATTGAATTGGATATAGCACATGATATATGTATGAACGCGGTTAAAACTACTTTCAAGAATTTCCTGATATCTCTAATAATAATCACTGAAACTTAAGTAGGTAAAAATCGGTTGTCTAGTTCTTGAGTCTTTAAGCTAAGGACATTGCCTTTTGTTGTACATTTAAATAACAAACAATAAATTAAATATTATTATTTATTTTATTAAACAACGGTGTAACACAAGGGACCGTTCTCAGACCTGTCTTTTTATTATATAGGTACATAAATGGTTTGCTGAATATTAATGCTGATTCAAAAATAATTTGCTTTGCGGATGATACTACTAACAAAAAAAAAGTATTGAAAAATTATACTGTAAAGCTAATAAAATATTTAAAATTGTGAAATCACAGATATCCACTTGAACAAATTAAAATCAACAATGAATTACATTATTAAATTTATCTTAAAAGTTCCTATTCTAACTTATACTAAATTTAATTACAAAGAATTAGGTAAATATCTTAGACTTTGATAAACTCCTTACTAAATGTACTTTAAGGTGTACTTTGCTATTAAGTTTTAAACATAAAATGTATTTACCTTGTAACCATAATTACCAAATTAAAAAAAATAATATTTAAACTATTGCTCCAAATTGTAAAAAACAATTTGGAGATTAAAGTGTAATTTCACTTTGTAGACAAATGGAAATAAATATTAATCTGAAAATATAATGTATTTATAATATAATACCTATTATTTAAGAATTAATTACCTAAGTATTTATAGAAATTGGTTATGTAACTATTTTATGAACCCACCACCTAAAACTCAATCATTAGCTCAAAGAGGGTTTGCAAACAATTATAATTAATGTAATATAATTTAAGTATTGTATTAACTAATTGTTTTTAAAAATATATATTATTATTATTATTTATTATTATTAAAAAAAAATCCATATGACATGCATAGCAGTTCAAATTTTTTTTTTTGTAATTTTAGTTCTGTAACCAATTGCAAATCTATATACAAAATAAAAATTATTTGATTTTCGTGAACCAAAATGAAATTCTTGTGTGTGTCATCCTAAAGCAACAGGGATTGAGTAAATAAGCTAAAACTATCCCCGAAGTCTCAAGGAAACTATTGATATTACTTTTATTGAAATCGGCCCAGTAGTTTTGGAGATTAATGCGTTCTAATATACAAACTCTTCAGCTTTATAATATTAGAAGGTATAGATTATATCAATAATTTTTTGACATTATCCTAGTTATAAGTAATTACTTAAATATTAAATTCATTACCTATGGCTATACCAGTTAAAATTAACAATTATTAAAAATAACAGTTGTCAATAGTTTAAAAAATTATCTCCAATAAGTACCTAATAATTACTAATTTTTAATTGTTCAGTTTTTATATTTATTTTTATTTCTAAGCTCATATTTGTACAATTGTACGTAATAACTAATAACAAATAACATTTAATTATATTATAATATTAAGGTACTTTTATTAAACTTACAAACCACTAAAACCATAGAAAATGTAATATTTGATTTAATTATTACTAATTATCAGTGTTGTAAAGTATTAGAAATCTATTTAGAATTTAGATATTTAGTTAATATCAATATTACCATAATGACCAATTGTTTAATTAGATAATAATTTTATGAAGTTTGTTTTATAGAAAAAGGATGTATGTATGCCTAATAATAAATTAAAATTAAATTAGGTACTGGTCTAGTTGTTGCTTATTAGTTATTAAGAAAGTATTCTCCCGCCACTCAGGTTTAAAAATGATTGCCGATGAATCATCGTGCCCGTCACTAAAAATGATCTGTGTTTTTTGTTTTAGTACTACGGTATTTTCAGTAAACATCTTATATTTCTGTGATACTTAATAATTTTGGAAGAAGTTATCAAGAAATTGATGGAAATAAATGTAAAAGAAAGAGAGGAAGGGGGAAGAACGAAGATGGCACAAATTAGGAATATCACGAAAATAGCGGATAAATGAGAGGTCGGATCCAGAGACTTATGAAGGTTTAGGACAAGGGTACTGATCCAATATTGTTGAGTGAATAGTGTAAAAAAACTTGCTTGGTTGGTGCACAGAAAATCATTTTGATTAGAATATTGGATACTTTTTGTCTGCGACTAATTCTCATGATGCAATAACAATATATTAGCCCCTTATCTGAAGTATAGTATTTCTTTAATACTGCTTGATAGATATTTATACGTTTTGTATTTAGAACTTTTAATTCATATTTTAGGATATATATATGAATAATGGATTTTAATGATTTTAATTATTATTATATAACTCAATTATGAGATTCTTGGGGTGCTAAATTCTGCGATTTAGATATTACAATTGCACTGAGAAGAAAAATTTTCCTGTCCATCTTTGTTTTATTCGCTTTGTTCATATTAATATAAAATATACCTACCTAAATAACAGTGTTATTTAAATCTATGTTTCATTATTGGTTATAGCATAACAGTTGATTTCAATAATCAATGAAAATCGCTGTTATGTTTGAGATTAATTAATTGATGAATAGAACGTAACATTGTAATAATATTTTATTCTTAACTCGCCATTAAAGTCCCCGCCACGCTTAACTACACGCTAGCCTGACTATCAGATAAATATAATTTAGCAAGACTGTAATAAAGGCCCTTAATTCTATCTTTCTATTTTTTTTTTGCTAAAATGCCTCTGCGCCTTTGGATTTAATTTTATGTCCTGATGCACAGATAACATTGTTAGTCCATTCAAGTGTTTCCTATAAATTGGTAAAAATTCATAATATTAATGGGATTGGAAGTTTATGAATCAAAAATTATCAAAATATACATTTAATTTTTTTTTTCATTAGATTTTTTTTTATTAAAAAATAATCCAAAAACGATCAGTTTAGTCTGAATATCCTTTAAAATGTATATTATCGTTTAGATATACCAAATTTATATTAGAATTGATAAAAAAATTGTAAAAAAATGTGTAATATTTTCAATCATCATTCAGAATTTTTAGGGCATTAAAATCCCAGGCCCTATTTTTGTGTAATTTACACAATAATAAAAATTATTGAAAATTTTAATTTAATCTGTGTTACAATTTTAATGTATTTCTGTTCTTATTCTTAAGTGTGTGCACTAAAAACCAATGAAACATTAGCACCAAAGAAATCTTAAATAATTTTTATTATTTTTTTTTTTAAGTATACATTTATGTGAATTAACTTTAAAAATGTTTTCATCATTATTTAACCATCTAATTTGTTATTATTATTTGTTTCAGGATTTATCTATGAGCTAATATGGATGAATATTGCACAGAATATGATTTAATGATACACAGTAACAAGCAAGTTGAAAAACCATCAAATAAAAGAAATTCATCTTCTGATATAGAATTGATAGATGAAAACCATTCTATTATTGATTCTAAATCAAGTCTACTAACTAGAAAACAAAGACTTATTGATTATTTAACTACAACTCACACACCTGATAATAACATTACGTCAAATAATAAATTACACAATTTTTCTACTGTTAATTTGATTAATTTTGTACCAAAAATTGATGATTATAACAAACCAGTGAAAGTTAAATCCCAATGGACCCGTACTAGTCAATTGGAGTTAGCAGAAACTTCTACTAATAAAAATACTCAACCTATAAATAATTTATCTAAATCTGAAAAAATCAATGAGATATATACAATGGACGTTTCACCTGCAAATAGTATAATTAATCAAATTAATGAACATACAGATGACACTAGAAAAACCGATAAAAAAACTGATGCTAATTCAAACTGTGGAAGAAAGTGTTATGTTGTTGTAGACAAACTTTATGATGATTCTATACCAGTAAAAAGAAAAAGGGGTAGACCCAAAAAAAAAAGTAACAATATTACTTATAATACATCAGTAATTTCAAAAATTGGTAATCAAGATCCAGTTAAGACAAATTCAAATGCTGATATGGAACCTAAAAATACTGATGAACCAAAAGTTATAAAAAGAGGTCGAGGCAGACCGAGAAAAAATAAATTGACATCAACTACTATTCAAATACCACCAATTGTTTCAAATTCAGCTCCAGCAAAAAAACGAAAAAGAACAAAACAAGGTTCCACTGTTTTAAAAAAGCCATGTACAACAAAATTGAACAATGATGAAATTATTGATTCAGAATCGCACAAATTAGGTCCGGGACAGCCTGCAAAGTTGTCTTCTAGTGAAGTAATAAAATCTTTAACTAAAAAATTAAATAAAAATTTTTCGAATTATGATAAAACAGAAGTAAATGAAAACATTCCTGAATCTGGTGAGAGATCATTTTCACCAATCATGTTATATCCAGGCGATGGTATTGATTTTAAGTGTATAACTATATCACGATTTGATAATACAGTAAAATCACCACAGTTTACTTCGGAAGGATGTGATACATTAATTAACCAAGAAAACACTACACGCATTAATTTTTTAGAAGGATGTGATAACTCAAATGTACAAGAAAACACTATAACTGTAAATATTTTAGAAGAATGTGATAACTCAAATGTACAAGAAAATACTAAATCTATTAATTTTTTAGAAAGATTTGATAACTCAAATGTACAAAAAAAAGAATCTGTTAATTTTTTAGAAGGATGTGATAAGTCAATTGTACAAGAAAAAACTACTTCTGTTAATTTTTTAGAAGGATGTGATAAGTTAAATGTACAAGATAAAATTGATTGTATTTCTGGTACAATAATTAAAATCAATGAGTTTTTAATTGAAAGTGAACAAGATGTGTTCTCTGAACTTGAAAAAGTAGATTGGAATTTACCACCTAAAAGGATTAGATCAAACAGTGTTAATGAATCTACTAAAATAAAACATCGGAGAAATTCTCTTACTGATAATTTTGTGTACAACCCAACAAACAAATCCAAAAAAAGTATGTTTGAGGATTTTAAGTCACTGAAATCTTGGAAAAGTGTTTCTTATTTAGAACGTGGACCAAATGTACAGGCTGAAAGATTCATAAAAAATGAACTGGTTAAAAAATTTAGATCAAAATTAAAACGTAGCAGAAGTTTTCCAAACTGTTTATTTTTAGATACAGTCATCTGGAGATTTCTAGTTCAAGAATGTGAATATGAATGTGATTCAGAAGAAAATTATGAGTCGTCATCAGATTTGGATGCAGATTCAAATTCAGATTCTGGTGGATGTGAAAATAGTGAGCCCATACAAAAATACGAACAACCAGAAGAGAAAACCAACTATATGTCTGGAAATTTAGATAATTTAAATATGTTGTGTTCTACTAATGATCTACCATCATTCCAAATACCTCCAAATATAAGTGATTTGGAAAATTCTGAAAGTGATCCAGAGGATCACAGAGGTTCTGATAAATATGAATGCCATTTCCTTGAAAATAGTGTACTCCCAAACATAAGCAAATTGAAAAATTCTGAAAGCGATCAAGAAGAATCTGAAGGCAAGATTAGACGATCTAAGCGATTAAATACAAAATTTAAGGCTAGTGATATGTTAGAGGAAGAATATTTATTATCATCTGAAAATTTAAAAATTGACTCTTTACTGTTAGCTGATGAAATTCGAAAAGACAACGAAATACATTTAGCAGAAGCTAGAGCAAATGACCCAGAGTTGGACAAAAAATTAAAAAAATTGAACTTTACTTTAATAACTAACAATTTGTTCAGGCCTCATAGGTAAGAATTTTGTATATTTTTTAAAACATTGATGGCCAAATAATATTTTATTGTTTGGTATCAACAATTTTCAATATTCAATAATATTACTTTCATTATTAGTAATTAAATATTATTTTAGGAGAAAAATGGGTGAATATACACCAGCAGAAGCACAAGAATTACGGAGATTAAAACCAAGGTAGTTAATACATTATTTTTAATTAATATTAATTGAAAATCCTCACAGGTTGTGTTTGTTATTATATTAAGATTAACATGTTCTTTGGGTCATTAACTGGTTTTGGAATTGTTATATTTTATTTTTAGAAGGTTTCAAATTACCATTGTTGTGCAACAATTGCTTAGTACAGTCTTGACTAATAATGCTTTTTTTTAGGATAATTATCAATTCTGATACTTATAAATGCCACTGTAAGTATACAAGAAAAGACTGGATTGAAAAAAAGCCTGGGTGCTCTACAGAGTGTTTAAATCGTTTATTGAATATTGAATGGTAAATAATCAAACCAATGTTATTTTTAAGAAGTTGATATTTTAATTTAAAAAATTATCTTATTTTTTAAGTGGAAAAGCTTGTGTTTTGAAGTCTTTATGTACAAACAAGCAATTTCAAAATAAACAATTCAAACGCACTAAAATTATCAAAACTGCAGATAAAGGCTATGGTGTTTTCGCGCTTGAAGATATCCCAAGGTAATAAATTCTATAGTTAAATAAGATTCAATTTTAATGGCAATCTATAGATATGTTAACTACATATTTTATTATGTTAAGAGAATGTTAAACCACTCAGACCCGCATTGTTTCTCTCCATCTTTCTAACACATAACATACCAAATTTAACATTGAGAAGTCCTTTCCTCAAGCCACTTATTCATTCAATTATCTATTTTACTTATTGTTCATACTTTTATTGTAACAGATTGTAAATAAAAATTATAAAAATAAAAAAAAAAAAAAAAAAAACATTGAGAAGAATTCATTTTATTCTGTCATTTTTAATATTAGTGTATATTGAACTAATTTTTAAATTTAAAAGTCAGAATATTGTCTGGAGCTTCGTGTAGTTTAAAAGAAGTACAATTTTGAAATACTCAAAAGTTTCTTCAAAATTAATATATCAAAAATGTATGCGAGTATGTTTATATTCTTACCTTTAAATTTCGTCAATTTAATCTAATATTAAATTAAAATATAACAGAGTAAAATTAATTCTTCAGTATGTAAAATGGGCTATGTTATGTGCTAAAGATATGGGAGCAGCACATTTAAGTAAGATTTTCTCTGAAATATATTAATCCAAACTTTCACAAGCAGTCACAAAGTGTTATTGTCCCCCACCTAGTGTATATTTAAAAATATGTATTCTTAAGAGGACGCCGAACCTACTTGTGTTGTCTTTGTCTTACAAACAAATGTACAGCTTGGCAAATTTTACATTCACAATAATACATTTTAGTATTTTACTCTGTAAAATTAGAGTGAAATAACCTCTTATAAAATTTAAAGGTAAGGTTATTATTTAGGGCATTGCATAAGATTTTTATTGTATTTTAATTTCAAAGCGAGTTACACAGCTATGGAAAGGTTGAGAACCGCTGTCCTAGATAATAATCTTACCATTCAATTTTATAAGAGTTTATTTCACTCTAATTTTAGAAATTACAGAGTAAAAAGTATTATTGTGAAAGTGAAATTTGCCATGTGTATATTTGTAAGACTAAGACTACACATGCGGGTTCAGTGTCCTCTCAATAGAGTTTATAACAGTGTTTCTCAACCTTTTTACTCTGGCGACCCCCCTTTTTAAATTTTAATTTTTTAGCTACCCCTACATATATATTTTAGATTCTGAGTGGAACGATGAATGTATTGATTTTACAATGATGTGTGTTTTTTTTTTAATTTTTTATTTTTGTGTCTGTGTACACGTTAAGTAGTCGAAACTCAAAATAATGCTTCGATTTTCGACTTCAGTATCTTGTTCGATTGGAAAGTGAATATCGTTGGTGCATTGGGGAGGTCAAATTTTAAAATTCCAAGTACTTTTCAAAAGAAAAATTAAGGATAAACGGGAATTTTTACGCAAAATCGAATTTTCAGAAAATTGAATTTAGTTTTTGGCGTAACTTTAAAAAAAATGACCGTAGATACATGAAATTTTCACTGGTTGTTTATATTTGCATTTTCCATACAAGATAACATTTTCAAAATATTTTGATTTATTTTGAACTGTTTAGGGACACTTTCATTTTTCAATTTTTTTTAGTTTTCTAGAAATATCAATAAAATTTTATTTGTTAGTTAAAAAAACTTGAAAATTTAATAGAAGGGTCCTAGTATATTGTTTCAAAGGCAGATGAAAAATACTAAAAATCGTTTGTCACAGTTTTTTTTTATAAGCATTTAAAGTTCAAAAATTGACAAAATATGGAAAAATCACGAAAATTAGCAAATTATTTTGAGTTAAGAATTCGTAAAAATTTTTCTTTTTAAATCTAAGATTTGAAAATCTAATACAACATTACTCATAAGTTTGTCTACCTTTATCAATAAAAAATCTCTACCGGCAAGTCAAATTAAATTTTTATGAGCGTTTGAAATTCAAATTTTTACAACATTGGATATTCACTTGATTTCTCATGTAACGATTTTCTTATTTTGTTGTAATTCAAAAACGAATAACTATAGATACATGAAAATTTTACTGAATGTTCAGATTAGCATTTCCTATACACTGTACATTTTTGAAAATATTTTGACTTTTTTTGAGCTGTTTACGGACATTTTCAGTTTTCAATTTTTTTAGTTTCTTTTTTCTATAAATATCAATAAAGTTTTATCTGTTGGGCCAAAAAGTGGAAAAATTTAATATAAGGTTCCTGATATATTGTTACAGTAGCAATTGAAAAATATTAAAAATACATAGGCACAATTTTTTTTATAAGCGTTTACGATTATGGCCAAAAAGTGTAAAAATTTAATACAAGGCTCCTGATATATTGTTACAATATTAGTTGAAAAATATTAAAAATATGTAGGCACATTTTTTTTTTAAGCATTTAAAGATCAAATTTAAATGCTAACCAAAAAATCTAAAAAATATATGAACACAATTATTTTTTACAGACATTTTAAATTCAAATTTGGACGAAATTACATATTAAAATCAATATTAACGATCTTGGTTTTTTGTTGTAATTTAAAAATATTATTCGGGGATATATGAAACTGAAAAATCAAAATATTATGGCCTATCCATACAATCTACCATAGTATAAGGAATAAGAATTATGCTCATGATAAGACTGTGCATATTTTAAGAAATTTATTCATAAATTCTATAACCTAATGGATATTGTGATATGATTAATTTGGAATTTATTATAGGTACCTATTATAGGTCAATTCTTTGTTTAATACCATAGATATGTATATAATATGTCTTATACCTAGACTGACATACCGTCTCCACTCAGAATCGTTTTTCTTATACAATGATATTATATCATTGCATTCAAATTTAATACCATCCATTATACAGTGACCCACTCGTAACCTACAGTACAGCAGAGCGACATCCACTTACCCACCTTTTTTACATACTCGCTTAGATTATTATTAATAATCAATACTACAAGTACTATACAGTGTACAGTGTTCACAAGAAATATAAAATTATAAAAGATACATATTATATTTATTTAAAATTAAAAAAAAACGTACACTAAATATTTCATTTTATTATATAAATATACTTTTAATTTTCGCATTGATTTAAATCATTCGATTGCGTTCCTAAATCATAAGTTGGGGAACCCCCAGGTTGAGAAACACTGGTTTATAATATATATTATTATGTACTTTAATTTAAATACGGTTCAATTAATAATCTACTGTACCTATTAAGTATTAATTAATGAAAGAGAAAATCAAATTCTAATTAAAAATGATATTCTCAACGATTTATCAAATTATGTGTTTGTTGTTATGTATTTGTTGTCTCCGCTTTACAAGTGCGTAACATAGCAAATTTACACTCAGGAGATCACATTAACTCTGTTAGTTTAAAATTTGAGTGAATCGACCTATTATGAAACTTGATGGTAAGAACATTATCTATTTTTGTATGAGGGTTTTTTCCAATAACTGCCTGATTTGCAAGAAAATTGAACTATTGTACAAAACCCACATACACATACAGATAATGTTCTTATCATCCAGATTTATAATAGGTCGATTCACTTAAATTTTTAAACTAACAGAGCTAATGTGATCTGCCGAGTGTAAATTTCCTATGTTACGCAGTTGTAAGACGGAGACAACAAATGGCTGTGTAGCGTCCTCTTAACTACTTTTGCAAAAAGTTTAGTTTTATTAATGGTTATTAATTGGTTTATATAATATTAATTGTAGTTAATATTTTGTGTAGTGGAACGTTTGTTGATGAATATATGGGAGAAGTTATTGATCAATGTGAAATGATAAACCGAATGCAAAAATTATTGTATAAAGATAACAATTATATGGTACAATTGAAACATGATGAAATAATTGATGCTACGCGGAAAGGAAATATTACAAGATTCATAAACCACAGCTGCGAACCAAACTGTGTTGCAGAAAAAGTATACTTTTACCATTCTAATAAACATACAGAAAATAATTCATTTTTAAAATATAGTGGAACGTGTTGGGTGAATCTCGGATGGGGTTTTTTAGCAAAGAGCTAATACGAAAAGGAGAAGAAATTACTTTTGACTATAGTTTTGAAATATTTGGGTATTGCGATTAATTTACCATTTTTAGTTTATTATAACTATTATTATCATTATTATTATTATTATTATTATTATTATTATTATTATCTAGGGATGCTGCACAGCAAAAGTGTTATTGTGGCACACCAAAATGTCGAGGATTTATAAGCAAAACGTCTAGAACAGGAGATGATCAAAGCAGTTGCTCTGAGGACAATGATGAACATGAAGATGACAATGTGTCGTTAATAGTTAAACCCGATGCATGTTTGGAGAAAAAAAGAAAAGCAATTAAGAAAATATCTAACAAAGATAGAAAACGTTTACGACAGGTTAGAATCATATTCTGTATAAATAATAATATGAAGATTAATTTTATTTTATTTTTTGTAGCTTGATCAACAGTTAACGGATATCAGTAAATTAAAAAATAAAAACCGCTCTGACTTGGAGAGCTCAACATTAAATTTAAATAAGCTAATGGTTCATATCACGGATTCAATGAGTAGATCGCATATTTTGAAATTTATCCGAGATAATGATTTAAACTGTAAGAGGTTATTTATGAATTTTAATGGATTGAATATAATACATAGTTGGATGACTTCAAATAATAACAAACGTTTGAAATTAGAAGTAAATGGTTTTATTTACGTATAAAGAATACAACTGTTCTAAACATTAAGTTATTTTATATTTCAGATTGTTGAAACTCTATCAGATCTTCCAATTTCAAACAGGAATACAATAACAAAATCGAAAGTATTAGATATTGTTGCTCAATGGGCTAATATTCCATTAAACATAAAAGAAATTATTGAAAAGTAATTATAATTACTATTATATGTAATGGTTACATCCATACTAAAATATATTTTTCTTTTTAAATACTATTAGATTATTATTGACCTTGGTTGAATATTATGTATGAATTGTATTTTTTATTGGATTCATATTTTATTATAATACTTTTTAATTTTTAGTTTAGAGTATCCAATATCACAAATTAAGGAACATGAACAAGAAATTGATAAATTGTTACCAGATATAAAAAATATATCATCATTAGTTAAAGCAGCAAGAATTTTGTGGAAAAAATGGATAGTTCTGAAAATTGTTTTTAAAATACCAAAATTAGAACGTCCAAAAGAAGGTATATTATATAAACATGTTATAATATTTTATATCTTACATAACTAACTGCCTTAAGGTATATCAGAAAAAAATGGACAACATAGTTCACTTATATAAAAACTAATAATCCAACATTTGGATTCTGAAAATTGCAACAACTGTGATTGTAAAGTACTACCATTTTTGTTTTTTGAAAAATGTTATGATTATCAATCAATTACTATCCAATACTAAATTACATCAAAAATGTAATGTGTAAAACTACACAATTTAATTGTTAGCTTTAATATTGAAATTATGTTTCAATATCTCATAGTATTTGGTTCCAATGTAATAATACTATTACATTTTTTTTTTTAGTATATGGTTATTTTTTTCATTGTCATTGTTTGATAATATCAAATTATATAATATATAATAATATCATATTATGTGATTTTGATAATGTGTGAAGTTCTAGTAGTATAAAATTACTAAAATGTTTAGATAAATTCATTTTTAACACAAAATATACTCTTATTTATGTATAACAGTGTTTCCCAGAGTGGGCTGATAAAAGTAAACCACAAGAGTTAGTAAACCCATAAAAATAATATAAAACATTTTAATACAAATATACCCAAGATATAACTATTTAGGAAATAAACATATGTACAAAATATCTTGTATGTAAGGCTTATATGGGCATGTTTAAATGTTCTATAACAAGGGTACAAAGTTATGCTCCACTTTTATCTATTCTTAATTTTTAAAAATTTGAATTGTGTCATTAAAGTTTAATGGTTGTTTCTGAAAGCTAAAAGTACAAAGTGTACCACAAATATTCATAACTTGTGAGGGAAAAAGTTTGGGAAACACTGGGCTGTAATGTATATGCTTAAAATAATATTATAATTAAAAAGTTTATAGGTAGATAATTTGTGATTTTATGGTTTTGATTTTAGTGAACATTCCTGATGACGTCATCCAACCACCAATACTGATTTCACAAACACAAACGTAAGACTTAAAAAAAATCTTTTTTTTTTTAAACTTTTCTATTTAATCTTATTAACATATTTATTTTAGAAATTCTGGTAATCCTGCGGTTCCTAATCAACTTTCTAAAATAAGGTATGGAATCATCAATTAAATTGTATGTCCACAAAGTTGAATTATATTTAGTTAAATAATTATCTTATATTGCAATTACAAGCTGATAGTGATTTATCACAAAATGATCTGAATACTATATTTGTTTAAATTTTGTTTTTGAAACACACCTTTTTTTGTTATATTAAATGTATAAATTAATTTTAGTTGTGTGCAAAGCCAAGGTAATGGTCTGACCAATTCTGTGGAATCAATAAGTAAAATAATTAATCACCAGAAAATTAATCGAGACAAGTAAGCATAGTTATTTACGTATTTAAAATGTTTCTAAATGATTGTGGTATATTAATATTTATTTGATCAAATAGGAACAAAACGGTTTTGGAATGGAAAAAACAATGTGATCAGCCTTTTAAAAAAAATAAGGTTATTAGTCCTGCCATGGTAAATTATTCAATTAATTCAGTTTTAAATCCAAAGCTAAGCTCAACATCTACATTTAAAACGAAAATTATACACCAAGATATTCCAACAATTGAAAGCAGCACTCTTAGTAAGAATATAAAATGGAGTGACATCACTGAAAGTAAGAATAAATTGAATATTTGATATATATGAAGTACTTGAAAGAATAGTATTTAATTTTATATTCTAATGTTGAGGATAATTTTATATTAATATCTTATCATATTTTTACTATTGAAGTATCTATAACTTCAAATATACTTTTAAAAAGACCCTGAAGAAGTTAGTTTGCTGTGTTTTGAATGAACATCGTCGTTTGTATAGTTGTTATCAAATTTTAATTCATATATTTAACAAAAAAAATATGGTTCCCAGCAGAAACTGTACGTCTGTATTTCTAAGGATGTTTTTTAAGGCGGCTCTAAACGATTGGATTTTTCATGCATTTAGACCAATAAGCTGGCGAAAAATACACATACTTCTAGTAGTCCAATTTCAATTTTGAATACTTATTTGGATTCGTTAGCCTCTTTTCTATGATCTGTAGGAAAAACTTTTTCATCTTTTTATCTAGTTAGCACTTAAAAGTGCAAGTTAAATTTGAGAAATCAAGCAGTCATTTGGAACCGTAATATACGTAAATTATCTAAAATATCCAAAATCGGTTTCCTACAAATCATAGAAAAGAGGCTGACGAATTCAAATAATTTTTCAAAATTGAAATTGGACTACTAGAAGTATGTGTATTTTTCGCCAGCTTATTAGCATTTTTCACTGTTGTGAGTGTACAAAAATATTTTTCGAGAGTGATTACGTTGACTTGTGCATGCGCGTACGTGTGCTATTGAACCGTGTGCCCGCAGCCGGGCGATATAAAATCTATTGTTATCGAGTTCGAATTTCTTCGAATTTCACACTAATAATCATTTACGACTAACACATAGATTACGGGCGGCGACGACAAGATTAGAAATTGCATAAATTGTTCTCCTTAAATAATAGCCACTAAGAGCCGCCTTAATTGGGTTTATATTACTAATACAGCAGATTAAAATATTACATATTTTACTATACAATCATTCTTATAATATTACATTTCATAATTTTGATTTGTTGTTATTAACTTTTAAGTCATTACCGACAGACCATAGAACTATTTGAATAAGTTATTGTCATAAATTATTTAAAATTTGTCTAAATATTTTACATGTGTGAAAATTTCATGGTTGATAATATGGCCAAATAGGTCCCATATACCTCATAGACCTCCTTTAACTGCAGAAATCCACCAAGTGAAAATTCTAAAAATATACTAAGTTATAAACTATTATATTTTTCTGTTTTCTGTTTCGTTTTTAGAATTCTTATTGGTTCATTAGACCAATTGATATGTTTGGAAAAGAACCCTTCTAAAAGCCTATGTCGATCGAGTGTTAGACAAAAACAGAAAATCAGGGTATCGAATTCCCTTAATATTTATTTTTATATTAATTTTAGTAACTTTGTATATAATATAATTTGAATACTATTTAACTACTTGAAGGTGACAATATTTGAACACATTTTTAGCAATCTTGTATTACATTTTTAAGCTATAGATATTAAAATTCGATATTTTATTGATTTTTTTATGCAAAACAACATTATGACAACTTTAAAAGCTAATAAAAAAAATTATGCCCATGACATTGTACAGTCGTTGCCAGATAAATTGAGCAGGCGGCGGCGGCGCTTTTCAGTAAGTGTAGCCCAAACTAGTTGCTGGCAGTGTGGTGCATAGGTCACACAGTTGGCTACGACGCGCGCATTCACCAGTTCGACCCCGGCTCAGTGCAAACAATTTTAAATTAATATCGTAAAATATTTTTTGTAACAATATTGTTGGTTTATTGATGTATTTTCGGTAATAACTAATAATATTGAAGTACGGAGAACCACTGGTTTTCCGTTATCGCGCCGCCGCCGCCTGCTCAATTTATCTGGCAACGACTGTATTTTAGATGTTTTTTAATTGCAATAAGAACAACTTATGAGGAACCTTGTATCTCTTACATTTTCAAGTATCTATAAATAACACAGAGGGAGCCAGAATAGTTTGAAAATAATATTATAACTAGAAAATGCTAATAGTTTAATATGAATATTTGGTAAAAATATTAAGTCTTTACGATTATTTATTTTAAAATAATAAAAACAAAATTATGTGATAAAAACTTGTTTTGTAAACATTATCTTGTTGTTTTTGTTAATATTTCCATTTTTATGATTATTAAGCTAACTGACTACTTTCGACCCTCTTAAGTTCCAACTAAATCCAATTTTCTACCAGAAGCCACCCTCAAAGTTTAAAGCTAAATATTTATTATTTCTCCTAAAGGTGACATCGTACTACACTATTACTACTAAAAATGCATACTCAAATGCTTGTATATTGAATTATATTTTGAGTACTATAACAGATTTAAATCTATGGAATGTTGTATTTTTTTTCTATTTCTGCTTTATTATAAAAACTGTTAATAATAATATGTTTTACATTTGGAATTGATTTAGTATTATCTCATATATATTTTTTTTAATTTTTGCAGATAACTCAACAGTCTATGATCTTCCAACTGATTCTTTTGAAAAAATTAATTCTACTAATATACAAACTATCGAAATAATTGAAACTGAACCCAGTGTATATTACCCTATTGAAGAAATTATAACTACAAACCAAACATGGAATTTACCGCCTCCAACCATTGTTGATCTTTGTAATGAATCTACTCTGCATTCTATGCTAAAAACAGTTCCTCCATGTTTACCGAATGACTTTATTTCAAATACGCCTAATGAAACTAGCCAATGTTCATTATCTTATGATACTTTGTGTGTAATGCATCCGGAAAATGTGATGTATGATGCTCTACATCCAAGCATTCAAGAACAATTGGCTTTCCTACCGATTGACATAACATTAAACAAATCGACTAAAACTCAATTAGATAAACCAAATACTAATGTAGAAACAACAGAATCCAATAAAAAATACAAAGTGGTACAGCCACTAGATAAAGATATGCATAAAAAATACGAAGTGGTACAGCCACTAAATGAAGATATGCATAAAAAATACAAATTAGTACAGCCACTAGATGAAGATATGCGTAAAAAATTATTTAAACAATGCGAAGAAAATGTGCAACGATTAATTGACAAAGGAATATTGAATGATTGTAAAACAGCTAGACAAAATTATGTAGATCAGTCTCCAATTAAAATACTTCAATCATTTTTTAATAAAAAACTAGTGAAATCAACAAATGTGGCACCTGAAAATAAACCAAATCAACATGTTTTGCCAAACTTAATCAAACGCATAAAAGTAATTAGCAGTTGTTATCGAAAACAGCCATCCAAAATAATTGAAATAAATAATTTAATAAAATCAAATTCTCAAAAAAGTAAAAATGACATATTTAGAATTAAGGAGGACCCAAAGACTGAAATAACTGATACAACTTCAGTAGCTTTAATGTTACATAATGAACAACTAAGTACTGTTCCTGAAACACTAAACTTGAATAAGATGTTCAATAAGATGTCGTTGAAATTAAATACAAAAAATAAATTTGCGTTTAAAATTTTGAATGGTATGATAAAACATAATTCAAGCATGCCCAAATATTTTACTCTCCAATTACCATCAGATACCAAGATAATAACTCACAACCCTTCATATGAATTAGAACTTCACTACAAATTAATTCCATCAGTACAAAATATTTTGTGTGCTGAATTTAAGAAGGGAGTTGATAAAGAAATCATAAAAGTGTACAAACAAAAAATAGTCATGAAATATGATGAAACAAAGGCCCCAGAATCAGTTACTTTAGATTCAATATTAAAAGAAAATATTGTTTCATTTGGTAACAGTATAGAAATACCTCAAGTTAAAAAACAATTAAAAAGAAAAATGCCAATGCCACCTTTACACAACCCAAAACATAAAAAAATTGTAGATTCATCAGTGAAAAAAAATAGAAAATCCAGAAATCAAGCTACAATAATGAATAAATCTAATGATAATACAGTTTTCAAAAAACCAATGCCTCATGTTATTAATAGAAACAGCTCTCAACGTACTAATACTTCTGTTACCCGCCAATTACAAGAACCTAAAATATCAAGTATTGCACTGATTAATACAAATGCAAATGAATTTAGACAGAAACCTAGTACACCAATTCAAAATATACCAAGTACTTCTTTCTTAACATTAGATTTGAACGATTTTAGATTGGAACCTAGTACATCAAGTTGTGTAAAACCATATAATGATCCATCAAAAATAAATCTAAATGAATTAAATGAAGAACCATCTAATCAATTAATCACAAATGTTACATCGTTAAAAACGAATGAAAATGAAATTAGACAAAAACCTTTAATGAAGTGTTTACCATTCAATAAAGTAGACAACATTTTAATAACTGAACTAGAACAGAATGCTAAACTTTTAGCTTCAACTTTAAGTATGGATTCTACTTATGTCTTACCATCAACAGAAGCTAATAGTGAACTAATTGACCCAATCGTACAGAACTTCAAGAATTCTATTAGTCAAAAGAAATCTATGATACGTGCAAATCTTGTTGATGATCCTATTGTGCGAGATTATATACAACGTACTCAATCAAAATCGGTTGATACAAAACGTAAATGTAAGCTACCAGAAAGTATGATGTCTTTACCTGTTGAGGTTCTTAACCTTGTACCAGACAATCAAAGAGAAATCAAGTATGTTATTGATTTTTATCATGCAATGGCTACAGTTATTGTCAAAGTATTAGACTTGTATGTGAAGAAGAGTTGCAAACAAGGGCGCATAAAAAATGATGATGATTTCAAATATTTAGCTAAAAAGGTAATATTTGTATTTGCATATTTAATATATTTAAATGTTAATTTGATTGATATTTACAGCTCAATTCCAATATTTTATTCAAAGAACTTCAAGTTAAGAAGGTAGAAGATTTAAAAATTAGTGAAAGTGTCAAGCAAAAAGTCGAACAGTACATTAAAAAATATATGTTAAAGTATGGAAAACTGTACAGAAGAAAAAGTACTGGTATGTAGATAAATTATTTATTTATGAACTGTAGATATTATTAATACTTGCACTAACTTAGTCAAAGTATTACAATAATATGTTAAGTATTAACTATTAGTCTTCTTATTCATATTATTTTAATCAACGATGATTATAAGTAATCAAAACAAAAATGTCTTAGTTTTAATAGTAATACTAATTATTATTAAACTATCTTAATCAATGATGCTAAACTTATACATAATTATTTATTGAAACATCTAAAGCAAATTTGATGTACTTGTCATTGGCTCAATTGAGAAATAATTATTTTTTATATTATTTTTCAACAAATTTGTACTTGTCATTACAATTCTTTATGAAATTTGTGAAAAATAACAATAAAACTAAAAGGAAAAAGATAGATTTTTTATAAAATATATTTTAACATATTATTATTTAAAAAAATCATGACAGCTAATTAATTTGTAATTAGATTTAAATGTTTAAAACATTATTATTTATTAAGAATAAAACTAAAACTAGTGAATTTTAGATCCATATTTTTCGATATGTAATAATAAATGTAACTTTTATAAAATACAGAGTAAAATGAAATAGTTTAATTTTTAATATGTATGAAAAGATAACTGTAAATAATTAATGTTTCATTATTTTTAGATCAATGATCCTGTCTGCAATAACATTTTCAACCAAATATAAGATAATTTTTATGGATACTATTTATCAAAATAGTAAAATTATTTTATTATCTTTTTCTTTTAAACTTTCCACGGTAAATTATTATTATTTTAATGGTTATTTATATTGTTTTAAATGCATTTAATGTGTTCTATGTTTTAATTTTAGATAATAAGACAGAAAAAATAACTATTTTTTATTAGCAAAGTTGGGTATTTTTAAAAAGATGTTTATCTTTGTTATACACAACTTACTGTTAACCATATTATGTATTTTTAAGAAGTTATATTCTATACACTTTTGGTAGGTTAATTTTTTTTTTTTTTTTGCAGTCATCATCTTAAATTTAAATGTTCAATATTGATATTTAGATAGAACCAATAATTCATTGTTTTTAAATTATATGGCTTCTTTTTAATATTTTGCATACCCAGCAATTAAAATGTAACAAATCAGAGATTTGATCCCAGAGTTAATTTTTTAAACATACTAATTTTAACGTAATTAATCTTTTAAATTATAATTTTAAATAGTTTTTTTGGTACTTACGCGTTATCCCGACTACCTTGGGTGCACCGTGTTATATCGACTACCTGGTAAAAATAATATGTATTCAATATTTTTTTACGTCTTTACGGTTATAAAAAATTATTACAAAATAATAATAATAAGTACTTAAAAAAAATCTGGTAAAAATAATATGTATGGTAATTAATAATTTTTTTGTGGAGGGAAGTATGTTTTAAGATCCATTAGAATTTTATCAAATGGTGTATCGTCTCCAATGTTTTGTCGCCAAACAAATTCAGTAAGATAGGAATCCAAATGATAACGAGGTGTTCTCCTCTGCTTTTTGTTTCGCCACTTTGCCAATCCCCATAGGCGTTCAATCGTTTGTGTGTGTGCTCATGTGGTTGGGTCAACAAAATTATAACTGTGATTTACGGTATAGTGATCAAAGCCGGATGATTTTAATAATTCTGTGTTATAAGCACGCCAACAATCTGAATATATCGTGGTACCTTGTTGAATGTTATTTTGGAGAGTTCCTGTTTTTCTATCTGGCACTTTTATTTAAAATGACTCTTTTGTCTCTCGACAAATTCCTCCGGATATCCACTGTTCGGGAAGTATTCTGCCAACGTGGTTTTTGCTTTTTGAAAATAGACTTTCATCGATCTCGACGATTTTCCTCGGTCCACCTAATTTTGTTTGTGGTTTAATTTCAACAGCCATTGCACATACTTCACGTAGGTAATTATTCCAGTCAATAACTGTATTTAGGCTTAAACCTAATTGTTGCTTGCACCATTTCGCACTCGTCATTTTGTGAGACCATCCATGTATAAATCGTACGGCAACTGTAAACGATATTCTTGATTTTGCAAACCAATTACCATTACGTACATTTACCTTTTTTTGGCATTTCTTAACATTGCATTTTCCAAAATATTTCTTTTCCAAAATATAACTTTGCCAAGTGATTGTTTTGACAAATCTGTACACTTGGCAACACTCCGCGTTTTTGAAAAAATTGCACAGCTTCCTTTTCTGAAGATGGCAAATTAAAAAAAATTCATGTTGGCTAGACGTAGCGTGTAGTACTATACAGTAAATAATAACTGACGGACGTAATAAGGACGGCCGTCGACTGACTGACGACATAAATACCTGGTCTGATGGTAAGATAGTAAGATACGTGGATAGTAAATTGTACATTGAAAACAAAATTAAATTGTCAATTACGATGATACAGATTACAACGCGGGAATGTACATTTTTAAATAGAATATAACAGGTAGTCTTGGAAATATTTGGGTAGTCGAGATAACACGGGTGATTCTCACAGGTAGTCTTGGAAATATTTGGGTAGTCGAGATAACACATAAGTACCGTTTTTTTTTGTAATAATGAAGTGTAACATCAACTTAGTATCAAATTGTCAGTATTTTTCCTACTTTATTTGGTATTATTAGAATTTTTTGAATATGGGGTTGTTAAATATACATTGTATTTAAATCAAATTTAAATTTTTAACTATTACCTTATATCATAGATATTTTGTTTTTTATTAGTAAATTTTACACTGCCATTTATGAATAATCAAGAGCGATACATTTTGTTGGCAAAGCAGATTCTGTAGACAATAAAAAAAGAATGTTAATCCTACGTTTAAAGCTTATTGGTACTCATAATTTTTACAATGTTAACATAATATGACATTTGATTTTCACATTTTATTTTTCCAAAACTCAAGTAGGCTACTTTTTAATTAGTTAAGTAATATTCTGTTTTTGTAAATAATATTACATAGTGTACCTTTTATTATATTTACAAGCGGGAAAAGTTTCTATTTAACAAAATATATATGCAATACATTTTTAGTCTTAAGAAATGTCCCGCTGATCTCTAACTTCATGTATATTTTCATATTAATATATATGTATGTGTGTTCTATGAGTTTAATTGTACAAATATTTATTGAAATGTATATTATTTTTTCTAACTATGTGTATACTTGAAAATAATGTATTTTGTAACTTTCTCTCATAGCTCAATAATAAGTAATTTTTCTATTCCAAAGGTTTTGATTCAGTTATTAAAATACTGTTACAATAGGTTCTTAATGTGTAAACATTTTTTGTCTCCAAATTGAAACGTTTTGTACTGGACATTTTTGTTTATAAGAATAAAAATCTTATGTACCTAGATGAATTTACTTTGTTATTTATTAAAAATTCCAATTTTAGTTTTTAAAATATATTCTGATATTTATTTAATCGACATTTAGTCTAGTATAATTAAGTTGGCATTAAAGAGTTTGGAAGCAGCAATACCCAGAAATAGCAATTTTCTAAACATGTGTCTTGCAATATTACCTATATGTATAAGATTAAAATATTTTTTGTGTAAGAAGCAAATAAATATTAGAGTAAGAATATCTGGTATAATGTTAATTCTTTGATTTTTCATTCTACATTTTTTCTTGGTTAGTATAATCAATATTTCATATGAATTTTAGGAAGGGAATGGGAAAAGATTATGTTAACTGTTAAGTCCACCCTGAATCAAATTCTAACCCTATATAATTACATAAATTTATTGTACTATTCAAACAAAAGTTAGTATAATTAAACACTTAAAAGAGGACTCACTGCTTCAATATATTTAATCATATATTTTTTTAATAAAATGTTTATGAAATAGGTAGGTAGCTACTTTATTCGTATACTCTATGATTTCATTAAAACTGTTTGAAATTAAATACCTACTAATTTAATGTGTACTTCTGATAAATTTATATTTTATGCATACTATTATTTGCAATTTGTAAAAATAAATTTTGTTTGCACCACGACTGTAATTTATCTTGGTGGATTAATGTAACATGTTTTTAATATAAAATAGTGATTTGAAGTTAAATACAGTAATTTCCAAAATCTTGCCAAAATCATTTCAAATTTTAATTTACAAAAGTATTAATTACAACTGCCACTAATTTAAAGGCATTTATGTATAGTTTTTAAACACAATCATATTTTATTTGAAATAATAATTAAGATCATCAAGCCATAAAAACTCCTAAAATCAAGATATGCCATTAAAAGTACTATTTTACTACCATTATAATAAAAAGCTAATGGATCAATAGGGTATTTTTTTTAATGATTAGATATGTTTGTATTTCAAATAATAATTTAAGTTGTATATTATTAACTATAAAAAATATTAATAATTTTATACATTTCTAAAGAAGTTTAAATTTTATATTAATTGTTAAAATTATATATAAAATATGAACAATAAATAAGAAATTTTGATTTTAAATGTTAGATCAATAACAAAATTATTATGAAAATTTAGTATTGCGGTTAATTTTTAATGTTGGATACTGTTTGACTTAAAACCTCTTTTGTTTATAATATTTAGTATTATTTAGTCAATTCGATGATGTACAAATGTATAATATTGGTATCCAATAAGTAAATCATTGTTTAAGTTTGTTAGTTTTTTTTTTTTACCAATTGTTATTCTTTATTTTCTAATTATTATCTAATACAAATTTTTTTTTACCCAATGTATAATTATGTCCTATTTGATTGTAAATTTCAACTTAATTTTAATAATGTTTACAATATTATTAATATAGGTAAATTCTTGTAAATTAACTATTATAGTTTTTATTTTCTGGTATTTCTGTACTACCTATGTTTAGTATCTAAAAGTAAGTTACAATTATTTAACTTATTCACGTAGTGCCAGAAATAATTGCATGAAAACATTTTTAAATACAAATTTACATAACTATAGTAATTATCATAATTATATAGATTGATCAAATATACAACAAATTTTCAAAATAAATAAAATAAAAAAGTGATGTTTCAAGTCATTAGAAGTTTTGGATGAATCTATTTTTCAGATGTAGATTGAATTCGATCCTTTGTGGACGGCAAAATAACGTGGCACATTCACATAAATTATAAAAAATGACAAATTTTTATGAAACGTTCTGATAAATATTATTTTGGTAGCAGAATTGTATGTCCTTTATCCATCACAAAATTAACAAAATTAAATAATATTGTAAAAAAATGTAGACGAATGTTCCAAGTCACCAGGATTGACAGTAATACATTTACAATATAAATGTTATTTCATTACCTTCCTATTTCATTTATAGGTATTACATTGTTGTTTGTAGGTTTTTAACTTGCATTTTTAATTTTAATTTGTATATTTAATTTTAACCCATTAACACCGTGGGTTGCCATATGGTAACAGAGATTTTTTACTATCATTTTTGAGGTGTAACATATACATTTTCAACAATATTTTGGTTAAAATTGTAAATAAAACAACCCCGGCTAATATGATAGTTTTATTTTTACCAACAATTACATTTATTTAACTAAATATCTAATAATTACTTTAGTTTTAACTTAGGTATATTTTATTAATATTTATAAAAAAATATAAATATTTAGGTTATATGTTATACCTACCTCAATGTATTTTTTTATTTTAATATTTCGTTCATGTTGAATTTGCGATGTACATAGGAACAATAATTCTTACAGTAATTAATTTTTTAAATACCTACCTAATAGATTATTTGTTTTACTTTAAATTATTTATTATATATATATTTAACACTTACATTAATTTATTTTCCGGCCAAGATTCACTCATTCAGAGTTGTTGTGGTTCAGCTAGTTTTTCAAGTTCTTATACATATATATTAGCCATGTGGACCAATGATTTAGAGCTCATACTTGGCAAATACATCAATCTCGCATCGACGTGGATATAATTCTGCAATCTTATATCAATTTTCCGCTAAAAACATAATATAAATATTTGTGTGATTAATTTAAACTAAATAATTGTAATAGGTGCTTTTGTTAATTTAAAAACGGAACAAGTAAATTGAACATAATATCAAATAATAAAATACCAGTAGCCGGAAAAATGCACAATGCCGCATGTAGTCGTAACATGATATAATATGATTAAAGAACATGATCGTAAAGTGTACTTACGAATTACGTGTAATGTTTAAAACTGAAGGCGCTATTGATGTATATATGCTTAGGATAAAGGTACTCCGCCGTGAGTTAGGTGCCAGGTGGTTTTTTTTTAATATTATGGTTATTAATGGCTAGTAAAATCGTTTTACCCAAACAATACTATTTATAAATTATATTTATTTAATTCGGTAAATAACAACAACTAACGAGTAACAAGAAATTAATACTGAACGTCATGGTTAATAACGGAAATACAGAAACGGCGACAGTGTAAAATAATACAAAATACAATTAGTACAGTTGGCAGAAGGTTGGTATCTCTGTAATTATTTCATATATACATATATAATAATATATGTATTATACAATATGTCTATGTTTCATTTTTACTTCTTTTGTTATTTTTTTTCATTAATCTATTAGTCATTAGTGGGATTTAATAATATACATTTATACCTTTTACCTTTAATCGTGATCATTAGTCAATATAAGATAAGAATGTAAGAATTTCTGCTCGTCTGCGACGTCATGAAATTTAAAATATAAAAGTACGAAATTATTTTGTGTTAAATAATTTTCAGACATTATATAATATTTTATATATTATTTAATATAATTAATATTTTATATATTATTTAATATTTTATAATATTGTTATTTTATATATTATTTTATATTTTATAATATTATTATTTTATATATTATTTAATATTTTACATTCGCCAAGCGGTCAACCTTCGTCTGGGCTGTTCAAACTGTTTTCTCGCCTAAAATAATTTCAAACCACCTTGCAAG